ACGGATGTGATGTTCCAAGACGGTCCTTTGCGGCACGGGGACCGGAGACCTTCCATCCAGAGCTGATGGCTCAGACGCGGCAGCAATCCTGCGAGCGGCTGTGGACCTGTTGTAACATGAGAGAACGCTCGATGTCAACTATAATTATCATGGAGCCACGGGACGATCCACCGCTAGGGGTGGACGTGTTTGCTCACAGCCTGTGGTCGTAATGCTTCTTCACCTCCCTCACTCCCTCTGATATCACGGTTTTCTGAACAGAGCTCAGAAAGAGGGACTGACAGCTCCTCTGTCCCAAGTGAGTGAACGCATCATGGTTCCCAGTCCTACGACACTTGTTATCGGGGCGCTCGTGGAACCTGCCGTGGAAGGAGGTCGCTCTCCTCCAGGCGGGAGGAGCGATCAGGAGTTAATCAGAATAGGCCAGCACCTGTGGTATGGCCGCTGTGCGGATCCTTTTGAGAGGATGGATCTCTCTTAAGATGTAGTGCGTACGATTCAGGATTCATGTGCTGCAACCACCACAGTGCTGTTCATATCAAGTGGTCAGTTTTACAGCGCTGCTGTACAGAGAAAGGTGTAGAGGCCATTTCATGTTCACTAGGTAGCATGCTGTCCTTTCTACAACAGCTGATGAACAGAAATTTGGCCTCCAGCACGATTAAAACGTACGCTGCAGCTATCTCTTCCTGCCACGAAGGGTTCGGAGACAGAACAGTGTTTAATCATCCGCTGATGAAGCGTTATATAAAAGGTGTACAGAGATGCAGGCCTGTTTCACGCCCACTTGTTCCACAGTGGGATTTAACGATTGTCCTGCAGGCTCTGATCAAAGCTCCATTTGAGCCTCTGGATCAGGTTCCACTTAAATTCTTGTCTCTTAAAACAGCCCTGCTGCTGGCTTTAACATCCGCTAAGAGAGTGAGTGATTTATGTGACCCCTCTGTCGCGCCGTCATGTCTCAGAATTCAGGCTGACGGTAGCTCAGCTGATTTAAGACCAAACCCAGCTTTTATGCCTAAAAACATCACGAGCGCTTTTAAATCAAGAGCGATATCGTCGGGAGGGGTTTCCCCCCCCCCAGATCAGAAGAAGAAGGGTCTTTCCATCTTCTCTGTCCGGTGCGGGCGTTGACGTGTTACATAGCGCACACAGCTGCATTGCATCAAACTCAACATTTGTTTGTGCATTATAGAGATGCATCTGCAGGTCGCCCGTTATCCACCCAGCACTTGTCATACTGGCTGTGTGAGGACATTTGTGAAGCCTACAGAGCATCAGATTTAGAGCCTCCTGTCAACATCAGAGCACACTCGACCAGGGGTATCGCATCTTTGACTGCCTTGCATAATGGTAGGACAATGCAGGACATTTGCACTGCGGCCGCGTGGTCAACACACCGCTCATTCATTCGCTTTATCTACGTGATGTGACGGCTCGTTCAATGACATATTCTATCCTTAGTGTTTACAGAATGAATATTGTTGTTTCATGGAACTCCCGTTTTACTCACATCTGTCTGCATGCATTACAGTGTGAGATGTTATCAGTCACAAGTTGTGATAGTTATTTTGGTTCTATTGTCACTAATCAGTTCACGACTATTGTTACCAATCAGTTAATTTGATTAATAATCAGCTCTCCTGTTATTATTAATCTGTTCATACTGTTCAGCCGTAAACCGGTTGGTTCATGGCTCTTTTCAGCATTTTCCCCTCCCCGTTGAAGTTTTCCGGGGCGTTCATGCATTCAGAATGCATAGTTACACAACATGCGTCTGTGCATGGCACACATAATTACGCAATGGGTAATTACGCACATGGGGAGCTGAGTGACAAGACGTTTTTTGGGCAAGCTTCTGCTTCATACGGTGTTCAAATGGACCCAGTGAGGCAATGACAACATCTGCTTCGCCCTTAACCCATCAGTGACAGCCTTAAAGGGCGAAGCCTATACGATATAGAACGTTGGTTACGTACTGTAACCCCAGATTCTATGAGTATAGGCATAGCCCTTTAAGTGTCGGGCCTCACTGGCTCCTAAATGGCTGAAGAAAAAGCTATTTGGGAGCCGATTACCCGCTCTTAACGTAATTTATATGGACCGGGTGGGGCCCACACAGCAGGTGGGCGTGGACTAAATTTGTCAGTGCAATGCTTCGCATATTGGGATAAACCCATCAGCGACAGCCTTAAAGGGCTACGCCTATACTCATAGAATCTGGGGTTACAGTACGTAACCAACGTTTGTCTCTATGTGGCCCTGTGATGGACTTGCGACCTGTCCAGGGTGTACCCCGCCCCTCGCACAGTGATTGCTGGACATGGGCACCGGCGACCCTCGTGACCCAAAATGGAATAAGCGGGTAAAGATAATGGATGGATGGATGGCTACCTAGCATTAGCAGCTACTTAGCATTGACCGTTACGTATAACAGCAGGCGGAGTTACACTCTGATCGAACTGTAATAAGGTTATAAAGGTATCCGGACATGTGTTTTATTAATGTTAAAAGAAGAATGTTGAACGAGTAAAAGTTTTAAGCTATTGTCAGTTTTGCATTTAATCAGTTATATGTTGAACAGGAGTTTCTTTATCGTTTTCCTCATTGTGTAATCAGTCTCACTGGTTAGTTCTACCGTCAGTCATACAGTTAACCAGCAGGTGAGCGCTTGAAGTATACATGGTCATTTAAAAAAGTCTATATTTAATTATATGTTAACATGATTATTACTCTTGATAAAAACATTTCAAGGGAATTGGTAAAGCAATGTGTATGTTTAAAATATTATTGCACTTAGGAAAATTGTGGTATTTATTGTAAATGGAAGATATCCGAATTGATTTGTGTGTGAAATGCTTTGATCTTACTTTTGCTGCCAAGCTTGAGGAGGATGTATTCTACCCACTAAAATGGAGGGATGATGCCGTAGGATAACAAAAGGACACTGAGACATAATTACATTGACTGAGGAAAGTTTATTGTATGATTTCATAATTGTTTAAATTTATAAATCAGACCGAGTTTAGGGAAGAAGATGGAAGTTTGCTCCTTCACTCACAGACATTATTAACTTATGTTTCCAGGTTTCACGGACTTCCACTCAGAGTGAGGAGCTGAGGCGGGAGGCCGGCCAGACCAAACATCAGACCAACAATTGTTTCACCCTGTTTGAAACGTGTAACACATGCATATTTTTATCATTCAAAAACATGCATCTAATTAAATTCAGGTTCATTTCAGAGCAAGATAAGCAGGATGGTGGTGTGTGTGGTTTTTTTAATTTGAATCATCACGCTGGTAGGGGTGGGGTCAGCCAACCCTGCCACTAGGTGTCCCTTTTTTATTTTTCAAGGAGTTGGCAACCCTATTTGGCACGTAAATTTAGCATGTGTACAAATGAGGTTAAAGTGTCCCCTTTTCAAACTTATTGCTCCTGTTATACGGCTCACCTCTGGTGTAACTAGAGTAAAGCTATAATGAAGAAACTGCAAACAGCCTGTCAGGATGCATTCAGAATCCTCCTCAGGCTTAAAGATGGACATCTGTAAGTCAGATCTGTTTGTCATGAGCAACATTCCAACTTTTCACGCCTTGCTGAGGAACTTCATGTATAAGTTTATGTGCTGCTTGGCTATATCAAACAACTTACGGTAATATTAAGAGCTTTGTCAAATGCAACATATAGTGAAACTACATATATCTCAAGCTTTTTTAAATATTGGAATAACTGTTTGTCTTTTATTTTATTTGGCATCGACTACTTTTTGTCTCGAAAAAAAGATCGATAAATATCCATGCCCACTAACCTCTGGGGTCAAAGGAGGACAAGCTGATTTCATCTTGTTTCATTACAATGATGAAAAAATAGGAAGAATCCCAAAACATTTATTGTTTAAATCAGACATTAAAAAGCAGATCAACAGGCATGCAACAGGTCAATTACAAGCAAATTTACTAAAAAGAAAAAAGTAGAAAAACTAGGGAACACACTGGGTTGCAACTAGTTCAAGCTCTTTCAATGGTGGTGAGGCAGAACGCAAAACAATACCTTCAGAATTCTGACGATCATGGTGCATATATATAAAAACTACAAAACAAAAAAAACATTTTTAATTGAACAAAGAAGTTTGACCCAAACCAACTTATTTGTGCTTTCACTTGCCCATTTGTACTCATGTTAAAACACTGAAGCTCATCTGATTTATGATTATGACTTCATCCCATTAAAACCCATTAAAATACTGTTAAAAGGGTTTTTGTACAAAACAATAACAGGCAAATCAGGAATTCTTTCAACAGGATTTAATAAAAGTGGCCGTACATAGTTTCAACTAAATTAAAAGGCCTACTGAAACAATTAAAATGGCCTCTCAAGTCACCAGAACAAAAAAAGTTTGATCTAGCCAACCCAAATGTGCTGAAAGTCACTACATCGACTTTTTAACCGTATACATAAAGAAACACGTAACTGGGCTGAGTTAAGTAAAACGTTGGCAAGCATTAGGCAGAGAGCCACCGAGGAAACACTTCTCGTATCAACTGATCCAGCTCACGACTCTGAATACAGAAGTTATCATGTTGTGGTTCACACTCAACAGAAAACCAGAACTACACTTGTCGTGAGAGTTGGTCAGGAATGCAAGCTAAAATATTACATTATACTGTGGGTACAATTGTGTGAAGGTTCAAGGCAAAGAGGAAATGAGCATTATATTTTGAATCTTCCACATTGGCTGCACCCCCACCCCCCTGCCTGCTTCAGAGGAAAAGGTACACTAACTAGACCTGTGCTGGGTTCACATGAACAGTGTATATATTGAGAAAACAGGTGACATATAGAAGAGATACTAAAAATAAACCATCTCTACCCACCTGCCCCCACCCCTCCCTTTTCAAAGGTTCCCACCTGTGTATTGTCACAAAGCAGAACAAAGAGTTTGTTAAAGATGCACATCAATTTACTCACTAAATGAAGTCTGAACTGAAGGAGACAAACTTGACCATCAATCATTTACCAAACTTCACGTGTTCACTTTGACACCTTGATTTTACTTTCTGGCATTTGCCATCAAGTGTAACAAAAACATTTGTCTTGACTAGTTTAATTCAGTCAGATAATCAGTGGCCTGGAAGAATGCTACATGAACAAAGGCACCAATAAGCTTTAAACGAATGAATATTTCCAATAAACACACAGGTGGGGACCTGTTCAGTACTCCGTGCAAGGCAGGAAAACAAACATTTAACGTTTCTGCCAAATCCAAGGAGTAACCTCACTCAAGCACTGACTGGTTGTGTAGTTGCTTTCCTGCCCTGCAGCTCCACACTTCCTTCACACCTCCTCCCATTATTCCTCTAGTCTTTTTTGTCCTCCTCTTTCTTCTCCTCTTCCTCTGTTGGATAGGAGTGCCATGTGAGACGCTCCTCATAGAAGGAGATCACCACTTGGGGACACTTCACGTTGGCCTCTTTAGCAGGAACAAGGTCGGCCTCGTCAGAGTTTTTCCTGTTCATTTTGACAAACGGAAAAAGAAAAGCCATTTTGTAAAACAAAAAAAGAAAACAAAACATTTCAAAGATGACTGACTGACTATGTATGGTAAATAAACTGGGGTGACTGTGAGGCTGTTAATTATGGGGGGGGGGGGGGGGGGGGGGAGGTTTTAATTATAAAGGAAAATGGAAGAAGAAAAAAAAAAAAAACAGGGGCCTCTCTCTATCGAAG